GACAAGCGCGTGGTTTTTTTTTTTAGTTTATTTCTCTCACATTTTTTACGATCCCACGCTCGGCTCGTTGCTCGTTAAAACAATGGCTCGAGCTTGTCTTTTGACGAGTGAGCCGCTCAAGAGCCGCTTTTTTACGAGTCGAGCCGATGAACCGCTCGACTCGATTGCCACCTCTAACTGTGGGTTAAAGCAAAAGACTTTAGACACACATTTGCAAAGAGAGGCAACTTGGAAAAAAATATTGTCAAATTAAAAGTTCGTTAATTTGTATTAATATGAACGTTTATGAATTTAAATATATTTTATTTTATATATTCGTTGGAGTTCAAAGAAAAAAATTAGTATCTTATGCATTTGGGGTAATTAGTTTAGTACACTAGTCCAAGTCAGGATCGAATAATTTTAGGGGTTATTTGAGCCATTTTTTCAAAAAATGCATTTTGTATATTATATTATAATGGAGAATATGTGGTTAAAAAATAAATAAAAATTTTGAACTTGCGTGTAATATTATTTTATTTAAAAACATGTGATTAAAATGGGATCAAATCACTGCAGATGAATACATTTTGATAAAAAAAAAAAAAAATTGGACTCAAACAAGGACTTAATATTTAAGTGAGGTTATTAATTTATCGAACTTTTGTTTATCAATGTTCTATTGTACCCTTTTAAGTTTATTATCAAACTTTGGTGTAAAAAAGGCGCCACTCCCGAATAAAATTAATTATATATTTTAATTTAGTTTTTCATTGCTTCTCTAATTATATCAAATAGGGCAACTATGGTTATTCTGGTTTACAAATGCAATGCTAGACTTATTTTTGTTTAATTATAAAGTGAGAATATTTAGCAGTTTAATATTAATTGACTGCACAAAAAAGATATAAATTCATATACAGACGAACCACGTGTGAAAAGAGAGTAAAAAATGAAAAATTTCTAGCAATGTAACACTCAATATGCTTGAGCAAACTATTTGCGAGAAATTTGAACGATTGTCACTTCTTTTCGCGACGTCGCACGTATTCGTGCATCGGGGTTGTCATGCTATGAATAGGTGTTTTTGGAATGTTAGAAGTAGATAGAACAATTATTCGTGGTACAAAAAATTCAAACTCTCTTCATCCATCTTTTAAACCCTATAAAAATGAGGAGTCCACAAGAAATAACGAGCCAGCAATTTTGAGTCCAATCGAACAAAACGGGCCAAAGCCCACAAGTAAAAGAAACCCTTAACGGGCCATTGATAAATACCCTATTTAAATCACACAATTACCCTTCAGCAAAACCCTAAATAGCTTCGTCACGATCGTTCATAGGAAAGTGGCCTTGGTAGCTACTGTGATTCGAAATCTGCTGCATCAATGGCGACTGCTAAAACTGTGAAGGATGTCTCTCCTCACGAGTTCGTGAAGGCCTACTCCGCTCACCTGAAGCGCTCGGGCAAGGTATTTCGTGCAATTGTATTTGGTATTTATTCGCGCCGATTTATTTTTCTGTGTTTAGACTTTTCCATATGGAAAAGTCCATATCCTTCGTCGATATGTTGTGTGATAATGTGATATCGATCTGTTGTTTGAATTGCGATTATAATGCACATAAAAAGGATTTTAATTTGTTTGGAAGTTTGATATCAACAAGGTAGTATGTGAATTTTCAATTGAGAATCGTTAACAAGGGATACAAAAATCAGGAGATAATAAAACAGAATTCTGCCACAATCCAATAAGAGTAGAAGTGCGAAGGAAATAGCCAATAAGAGAAGGAAAAAACATCACCGGATCAATTTACTTAACACATGACGCTTCATCTACACTAGCATGTTTAGCTATGACTAAAAGTCACTTTATTAGCCGAGCACATTTGAAAGTTTATAGGTTAATTTTTTATTTTTTTGAATTTTTAGTAGAAAAGCTTAGCCAGGTATACTGTTAGAATGGTCTCACTGGACAAAGATTTGCCCTTTGTTTTATGGATAACTACTTGATCTTAAGAAGCTCTCGAGCAATCTGAGCATATTAAGCAGAATACCTCAGATTGCATGGTTTTTGTGTGTTTCTTTTTATGAAATCAAGTGTATATTTGTAACAGTTAATATCTTTTTGCTCTCTGTATTACATTATTTTATTGTTTCTGAAATATAGATGGAGCTTCCGGAGTGGACCGATATTGTGAAAACTGGTGTGCTAAAAGAACTTGCTCCTTATGATCCTGACTGGTACTACATCAGGGCTGGTAACTCTCTCTCTCTCTCTCTCTCTCTCTCTTTGTGATTTTTTTCGTGGTGTGCCTAGCTGCTCAGATTATCTCACTGTCCTTGGTTATAATTGCACCTTAGAAAGGAGTAAACTAAAGGCCCCAAAATGTTTGCAATGACATAACTACTCGGGCTAGTTTGTTAATCCTTCTAGATTAAGATCCAAACTGGTAAAGGTTATGACATGCCTGGAATTTCTTGTTTCTACAATGCTTAACTTGTTAATATGTGGAGAGAGATTTTTTTTCTTGAAGTTGGCATTGATAATTTGATCATATTCTTGATTCGGTTGTGTGTTTCAGCTTCTATGGCTAGGAAGATATATTTGAGGGGAGGTATTGGTGTTGGTGCCTTCCGTAGGATTTATGGTGGGAGCAAGAGGAATGGAAGTCGTCCACCCCATTTCGGCAAAAGCAGTGGTTCTGTTGCTCGCCACATCCTTCAACAATTGCAGACTATGAACATCATTGACATGGATACAAGGGGGTGAGTTTGATATTATTGCTTCATGGAATAAAATATTTTGCTTTTAATGATTTACACGTCACAAAATGAAACCCTTGAATAGTGAGTTTTTACCGTTCATAATTGGATGGGATGCGAGAATTTGTTTTATAAATCTGATATTTCACTCTGTTTGCAATGTCTTTAGGAGTTTAGGAGTTCTTTTTTCTATGATTATACGTTACAAAAATTGTTGTGAATATTATGGGTTCTTTCCTCACGAACTGTTATTCCTTTTACAGTGGAAGAAAAATCACATCCAGTGGTCGCCGGGATCTCGATCAAGTTGCAGGAAGGATTGTTGTTGTCGCACCTTGATAGGTTATTCGTTAATTATGTAGTCTTGTGTTTTTTTACTTTTCTGTAAAGCATTTCGCTAAGCAGAAATCTTCGAACAATTTTTGGTTGCAAATGTTAGCACGGTTACTATGCTTTTGACTTGAGTAATTTTGGCTATTAAAAATTTGCCCATGTATTCTCTGAATGAGTTTTGTTTTGATATGGGGATATAGATTGCAGTAAAAAAGTGTACATCACCTCCAAATGCTTGCTTGACAAGGTGGAGGATGAGTGTGAGCATCTCAATTTAATTTTTATAATTATGCCCATTTTGGATTCCACTAAAATTTTAATTCATTTTTCTCTCTCTTTATCAATCATATATGTTCTTCAATAAAATAATATTAAATGTAAATTCAAAATTTTTCCATCTTTTTTAATTGAGTAATGTTTCATCCCTAATGTAGGTGGTGTTAATGTTTCATTAAATGATAGGTGAAATTAAATAAGCATTTAACCTATCATTAAAAAGGCATTTTATAAACTTTAATATTATTAATTATTTTAAGACCATTAAATAATAAAATAATGTCTACCAAATAACTAAAATCATAAATTATTAATTTTTACACCCCCTTTGATAGTGATTTTAATCCCATTTTTTATCAAATTCAACGATTAATATCACATATTTTATAGGTTTCACAACTTTTCAACATCACATTTCATAAAAATCTAACAATTTAATCTAAAAATCTAATGATAAAAATATTAAATATTTGACAAATTGTGAAAGAATATTGTCATGAATCGTTGTTAAACAAACTAAAATCTGAACTTCAAAAAATGCCCATGTTCACTGCAACTATGTTTATACAAACAAGTTATTTGAAACATTCAACACTTGATCTTCTCGTTTTTATGCATTCGCCTTTGGCACCGTGGACTTATTAGTTAGATGCTTCACCGACCTGATACAACAAAGACAAAATAGAATCGACAACCTCAAAATTCAGCATTCAGTTCAGCTTAGAATATGTGCACATTGTAAAAGAAAGAACAAGGTTACATCATTGCCTTCTAGGGACGAACGGCCTGTCAAAATATGGCATCGGTTGAGCTTTAGGAACGAGCTCCTTCCTCAGCCTCTTAATTTCTTCTTCTTCAGCCAACTGCCAACACAGTCGTGTTAGAAACATACAACATAAGAATCAATCGTAAGTTTAGTCTCAAAAATTTTAGTTCACCTTTCGCTGTCTCTCCCTTTCCATCTTGTATTGTTCAATAAGGCTCATTTTATCGGCCACCTAAATAAATAAAAAAGTTATGTCGGTATGAGAATAAAAGTAACCAAGCTTAGTCAAGAAGAGGAAAATGTACCTGATGATCAAACTCAGCACGTTCAACAGCCCTAATGTCACTGTGTAGCACGAGATCAGCAGGCCTTGTATTATCTTTGACCGAAGGCTTCATTAAACACTGAGATATGACAAGTTAGCCCAATTCAGTCAAATCCTGAAACAAATGAATGTTTGGTCTGCATTTAGGTACCTAACCAACCACCATAAGGTCAAATTGTTCTACACCTTGAAGGACAACTGCCAAAAATAGCGTGCTGAATTCTACTGGGAAGTTACAAAAGGGAAAGGATCAACAAGACAACGTTCAGCAACACAACGCAAAAGTTTTCGTTAAGCTTCAAACCTAGGTTGTGATTAGTGAAAAATGTAAATCTACGTGTTTCTTAACAATCGATTGACATGAGGAAGCAACACAAAATGGTAGCCTTTTCATTACGTCAATTGGCAACTAGTCAGGCCTCAAGTTTTCTTTTGACGAGAAGTCCATGATTAACCGTTGAAGACACCAAAACAGAAGTTCTTCCATGCTTTTATATCTAAAGTTACTACATTCTTTGATAATGAACTTCTGCATTCATTTCCAAACAACAAACTTGCCAAAAATGAATATTAGAATTAATATTGACATGAATATTAGAATTTTGCCCTGGAACGAAAAAAGGGAAGGAGGGAAGATCTAAACATCAGAAACGAATTCAAAATTACTAGGCCCTGTTAACTTGACAAAAAAAAAAATCGTACTAATCCTGATTCCTGATGTTTCCGAAATAGAAATGAGAATTCTTTTCTCCAGGTTAAAAAGTTACCTCTGGTTGATCCGTTGTCCATGGAAGACCTTGTGCAAGTGGTATCCGCAACTTCTCCTCTTCCTCCATTATTTTTTGCACCTTTTTCATGAATTCTTCCTCCTTGCACCTTCCTCTTTGCTGCGGTAGGTGCAATTTATGTAATTTCAATATTTGAGTTAATGTAAAGTCGTAAAAAGTCGACACCTCTTGGAGTTCAACCTCTCCACTATTTTAATAGTCTATATCTATTTCAGCTGGCTGAATGAATTTTCTTTAGGCTTCCAATTCTACCTTAATAAGTGATTTGTTCCATTATCAAGTGTTGCTCTCAACTTGCCCTTTAAATTTGCACAATTGAAATAGTTCTTATCTGTCAGAGTTTTATATTTAAATAATCCCATTCCTAACTTTATTATACTATTTAAAATGGCGTCAAAATGAAAGACTTGCTATACATCTTACATCCATAGGCCTACATTATTTTCTCTATTTCAGTATAGAACAATATCGTTCCCAATTTTGTTAGATCATTCATAATAATGGATTTACATTGGCTTGAAAATGCAGGTTGGTGTTATGGATTTCATAAAACTTGATTAAGAGTGGTAGGGTATCTAAACTGTTGCATCCTAATTCTACATATAGCCATTTTCGAAACCGCTTGTCCCAATAGTATAAAAACCTTTTGACATCTACCTTGAACTAACTGGGCATGTGAAGGGGCATACTGAAGACATGATTAAATGAATGAGTTTGTCCCCTTTCTAAAAGTTTGTTTAAGCTTTTAGACGAGGTGGTTAGGTAAAAATGTAAACTAGATTGACATTTTTGCAACTATCTTGATGTTACCGCTATATTAAACTGTAATAATAACCAGTCAAGTAATGCTCATATGGAGTCAGATTTATATTGAAAACAAATATGTGAAGTGATGAAAATTCCACAACCTAGAGACACAACATAGGCATGAATGAAACACACCTCTGTTCTGAGCATGAAGGGCTTTTGAGAAGTTGCTGCTTTAAGCTGCCTTCTCCCATGTCTTCTCACAGAGGTTCCAGATGATTCGAAGCTCTGCAGAATTCGAAAAATAGATATGATAATCCAAATGAGAAACAATTTTACTCAAAGAAAGAGAAGTATGGATAAAAAAATCTCACTTTTCTTCTGCTTCTTCGACCACCAGCAGAAGTTTTACTTGAAATGCTGAAGTTATAGAATGAACACATTTAGAACCAACATAAGACGATTTACCAATTGTTCGATTATGTCAAAAATCAACACAGTCGCTGTTAACCTAACTAACCTTCCTTGGCTGCTGTCTAGTGAAGAAGAACGGTGCGAAACTGAATCCAAACCTAAGCTCTCCAATGTGAGGAAAACATCAGAGGGACTAAATGAAGATGGAGAAACCTGTTTTTCGGCAACCTCAGTAGGTTTTCTCATTTCCGTATTAATATCCTCCACTTCGTCCACCTCCTTTTCCTTAGAATCGCTCGATTTTGGAATTGAAAGAAGTTTCTCAAATGTCTTCACCAAATGCATCACCTTGCCAGACCCTGGCTCCGGTGCACACTCTCTACCCTCTTTTAAATGCCTTCCCCTTCTTCTCTTAGTGCCCGTTTCACCATTCGCCTCGACCTCATCTACATCATCCTCACTCATCACATTAATCTCACATAAATCATCATTTTCCTCCACTTTGCCACAAAATCCTTTGGCAGTCTCCGGTTTTTGGCTTATAGGGTTAACTTCACGCTCCCGATTCGCTGTATCATCATCACATAACTTCTCCAAATCGACCTTATCGTCAATTTTACTGCTATTTTTGAAGAACCCTTCCTGAGAAGCCCTCAGGCTCTCATAGGCTACACACAAACACTTGGGTTTTCCTGTCCCCTTCTTACACTTGTTACATTCCACTGATGCTGCTGTCGAAGAATTCACTTCCCCCTTTTCCGATTTCCTTTTTGCAATCAAGAACTTCCTCTGCCGAATTTTCTTCACCGGTGAAGGTGACGCCACTTGAATACTACCAGTAGGGTAATGGTTTCTGGAAGTAGATTTTTGGGAGCGAACACTTTTTGCAGACTTCATACATGGAGAATTAGATGATTTAAAACCTGGAGACGACACATTGGGATTGAAATTTTCTAATTGTTTTGAGATTTCATTAAATTTTGATCGGTTTGATTCTTTTGCAGGCGTATTTGCTCCGGCGGTTTTAGAACTTGAATCCATTAGAAATCTCGCCGGATTATGGATGAAACTATGGTTTCTAGAGAGGGAAACAACAAATTTGTAATGATATAGACTTTTTTCACGATTAGTGTTTCATTGATTGATGGAATGAAAGGGAAATAGATGACCGTTGAGTTTTTGACGCTCGATTGGTAACGGCTAGTTTGTGGGTCGGGGTTTTGGAGTGTCGGAGATATCGTTTGAATGATTCTCTGATTTTTGGACCGTTAGATTTCTGCTTATTGAGAGAGAATGTCTTGATTGGCATTGTGTGCCGTGGGCTAATTGGGTTTGGGATGGTTATATTCATGCCATAGTTTTTTTTTAATACATTGTATTTTAATTATATGAGAGGTTATTAACTTTTATTCATTATCATATCCGCATAAATGTTTTCCCCACAGTAAAAAGTATTATTTTACTCACTTAAAGAGAATCGTACTGACGGTTCTCACATTTGGACATAACGGTAAGTAAGGGTTCTTCTGTTATATCAACGGGTGGACAATCTTATCATCTGTCCACCATGGACACGAGAACAATTTCGATCATACTTATATAATTAATTTTTTAATCACTTTCTTATTTTTTAAAATTTCATTGATCATAAAATTTTATAATTGATCAAGATTTTCGTCCAAAAATATTGTTAACGTACTTTAAAATGAAGTCAAATATTTAGTCGTATTTTACATTATTATTTATTTTGATTACTTTAAAGTTTTAAAGAAAACTTTAAGAGAAATCATAGTTAATTTGAGAACATGAATGAGATTAAAAAAAGTTCGAAATATAAATGTGATAATGTGTAAAGACTATGAATCTTTTATGCAATTAAAATATAGTATAATTATTGAAAATTGTGGTGTTGATATATTTAGGGATCGTCTGACATGACTTTTTGCTTTTGTTTTCTGTAGAATAGCTTTTGGAGGATATTACCTTTATTTTTGTTTGAAAACTAATTTTTAAAAGAGTTTAATATTCCATAAGTATTTTTAAATAAATTCACATTATACTTACTTCCTCTAAAAGTTCTTCTAATTATAAGAAATACTTTCATAAAATCAGTCAAACGAGTTCAAAAGTAGTTTTTGGATCTAAAAAGCTTGTTTTGTCTTCTCAAAAGTTATTTCAAACTAGTCCTTAGGTTTGGATTTATTGAAACAATCGTGCTGATTTTCATCTAAACCCATTCAACTATGAGAAACTGACATTTGGGCCCATACAAAGGAAAAGAGGTAGAAGTTATAAAAAAATTCACCTTTAACAACTGAATACTCCATAAATGATTTTTGAAGACAAATTTGTTTGTTAAGCGAATGAATAATGCTATTTATCTCTATTGGGGTCGAATTCCAGTCTATGTGGCAATTACATGACATTAATAATTAATATGAAACTCCTGTTACACACCATACACGTGGCGAAATTTGTACAACACATTGTTGGTGTCTCTCATTTCTTAACAAAAATAATATTTTTACGGATATTCACTCTCTCTAAGTGATCAATTATACAACCTTTTGACAAAGTGAGTTTAATAATTATGACCACAATTACTATAAATTAGCTCCCAACGTTTTGGCTACGTAATGAATTCACCCCTAGTCTATAAATGCATAAAGATCATATAATTAATTTAATTATTTTTTATAATATGTTTATCTGTACAACATATTCACTAGATTGATAAAACTTCCGATACATGCACAATTTGCATAAATAGATATTAACGAGAATTGAACTCAGATCTTATTCATTGGAAGCGGTGTTCTAAAAACGTAAAGCGTGACTATGCGTGGAAGCCAAGCTTGCTTTACGAGCCTAGGCAGTGTGACTGATCATAAGGTGATGTCTTGAGATCTAGCATGGCACGAGGATGTCATGGCACGAAGTGAGAGAATGGAGTAGATCTATGGTTAATTAGGTCTAAACTTTAAAAGTAGATGGGGGTGCCGGTGTCACCTAATTTGGTGGGGGAGATGACTGGTATCCATGGTGACAGGTTCATGTCAAGGTCGTGTCTAGGTGATGGCTGGAAAATTCGAGTGTGTGTGCAGGCACTGTGACACAGGCAGGAGACGCGGCTGCAATGCAGGCAGTCATCGCAAGCAACACCCAGGACGCAGTCAGGATATCACAGGCACAGACTGCACTCACAGCACGACGCAAGCAGCACAGCAACACAGGCTGCATGACTTAGGCAGTGACATGTACATGACATGTGCAGTTTTCCCAGCACACCGGTGGTTTTCTAGGGAGAAATACCATGGGCTGGATGCTGGATATTTTTGGGATGTCTTGTACAAATTGGCTACTAAAGCCACTTGCAAGATCAAGGCCAAAGGAGGAAGTAAAAGTCAATTTTGCCACTATGAAAGGGATATGTCTAGCATGAGATTTTTGTAGAGACATGTCACTTGCATGAAGCAAAGTCCAACGTTGCTTTCTTTGGTCTTAGTATGTTTAAAGGCAACTTGCAAGCAATGAGGGCCCTTGGATGAGAATTGATCTTGGCCATTAAATTTAAGGCACTTGCATGGAATTTTGTCTATAAATAGAGATGGAGTCTCATTGTAATTAATTAGATTGGAGTTGAGTTATTTTAATATAAAGAGAGATTTTCTCCCAAAATTACTTGTCTTCTATATTACTTCAAAGACTCTACTCAAAATTCTAGTAATTTAGCCTACTTGGTTGAATTATATGTGGGTGTGGGAAAGGCTGACTTAACGTTTTCTCGTAGGGACGAAAATTGTTTGCGTTAAGGCCGCACCGTGTCTAGTTATTCTCGTGTAAGAAAACTTGCCCCGTGACAAGTGGTATCAGAGCCTCGTTGGCAGGTTGTTACCATGGCGGATTCTCAATAAACCTTTGAGATCGAGGAAAGGGGACATGGTGTTGCCCCAATTGAAGCAAAGAAGACACGGAGCAAGATTAGGACGTGGGAAGCAATTGCCATGGAGGGCAAACTTGATCCAATCATCGCAAATATGGGTGATCGGGTCGAATCTCTCAAAAACTCCTTGGAGGCGTTGGAGGAACACTCCATTGGAAAGTTAGAAACTCTCCAATCTAATGTCCAAGAGGTGATGGACATACAAGCATCGTTGGAAAACGATGTCTAAACGGTGAAAGGTGATGTCCAAGTTGTGGTAGCTCGACAAGCCACGATGACGGAAGATTTTGGTAGACTCCAAGCCAAAGTCTTAGATACCGTGTTCGCCGTACAAGGTCAAGGAAACCAATCATCCTAGATGATGGAAAGAATGAGCAAGGAGCTTGAGCAATACAAGCATTCTACCGCTAGTTCGAGCTGAGGTGTCGCTACTAGTGTTGTTGCTTCGAGGATCGAGTACCCGAAGCCTAAGAATTATGATGGGCAACGGGATGCCAAGGAGGTGGAAAATTTCCTATGGCAAATGGAGGTTTACTTTGAAGGCGTTAATCTTATGGATGAATCCATGAAGGTGCGGACTGCTTCAATGCACCTCTCGGATGTTACGACGTTGCGGTGGCGTCGTAAGCATGGTGAAATTGCGCGGGGAGCTTGCAACATTGGCACATGGGATGTGTTCAAAAGGGAGCTCAAAAGGCAAATTTACCCGCAGAATGTCGTCTATGAAGCTCGCAAGAATTTGAGGATGTTGAAACACACGGGAACAATTCGTGACTATGTCAAAGAATTCACGACCCTTGTACTTTAAATCCCAAGCATGCTGGAGGAGGACTCACTATTTTGTTTCCTAGATGGATGTGCTAGTTGGGTGCGACATGAGTTGCAACGTTGCGGAGTCAAAATTGTAGATGAATCTATTGTGGTGGCCAATTCCTTGACGGAGTTCGAGGAAAGTGCCGATTCCGAACCAAAAACCATTAAACCCGCTTAAGGGAATTTTGGTGAATATGGTGAAGACTCCAGGAAGGCCATGCAAGGGGGTAAGACAGAATGAAGGCAAAATTCTAAAGTTGATTATAGACCCGGTGGCAACACTCAACTTTCTTGGAGGAAGGAGTATGCTAAAAAGAAGAGGGATAATTTTACACCTCGTGGTTGCTTTCTTTGTAAAGGACTGCATCTCATGAGGGATTGTCCTAAACGAGGATCATTGGCATCCATGTCGGTGAGGGAACCGGACGTCATAAATAGCCAAAATGGGGAAGAAGTTCAGATGAATTCTTTCTAAATGCTTAATGCTATGAGTACCAAAGCCATTTTCGAATAGACGGAAACACAACACCTAGCAGCGATGAGGTTAGCTGAAGTCCCAAGGGATGGCAAAGACATGATGTCCACGAAGTTGTCGAGAGAACTACCAAAGAAGGACAATGCAAGGCGTGAGGTGCATGAAGAAATGCCGAACACGTTCCGCTACGAGGGCGTTAGCGGAATAAGTGGGAGAGAGTGTGACGGATCACAAGGTGATGTCTTGAGATCTAGCATGATACGAAGTGTGAGAATGAAGTAGACCTATGGTTAATTAGGTCTAAACTTCAAAGGTACATGACGATGCCGGTATCACCTAATTTGGTGGGGAGATGACTGGTATCCATGGTGGCAGGTTCATGTCAAGGTCATGTCTAGGTGATGGCTGAGAAATTAGGGTGTGTGCAGGCACTGCGACACAAGTAGGCGACGCAGTTGCAATGCAGGCAGTCATCGCAGGCAGCACCCAAGACGCGATCAGGACATCGCAGGCACATACTGCAGTCACAACACGACGCAAGTAGCACAACAACACAGATTGCAGGTTGCATGACTTAGGCAGTGACATGGGTAGTTTTCCCAGCACACCAGGTGATTTTCTAGGGAGAAATACCTTGGGCTGGATGTTGGATATTTTTGGGATGTCTTGTACAAATTGGCTACTAAAGTCACTTGCAAGATCAAGGCCAAAGGAGGAAGCAAAAACAAATTTTGCCACTATGAAAGGGATATGTCTAGCACGAGATTTTTGTAGAGACATGTCACTTGCATGAAGCAAAGTCCAACTTTGCTTTCTTTGGTCTTAGGAGGTTTAAAAGTAACTTGCAAGCAATAAGGGCCCTTGGATGAGGATTGATCTTGGCCATTAAATCCAAGGCACTTGCATGAGATTTTGCCTATAAATAGATATGGAGTCTCATTGTAATTAATTAGATTGGAGTTGAATTATTTTAATATAAAGAGAGATTTTCTACCAAAATTACTTGTCTTCTATATTAGTTCAAATACTCTACTCAAAGTTCTAGTAATTTAGCCTACTTGGTTGAATTATTTGTGGGTGTGGAAAAGGCCGACTTAACATTTTCTCGTATGGACATGAATTGTTTGCATTAAGGCCGCATGGTGTCTAGTTATTCTCATGTAAGAAAACTAGCCCCGTGACACTAAGCTTAGGAGTAAAAAACGTTTTTATTTAAAATTTTTAATCATTGTAAAAAAAATTCAATAATTCAAATAATACATACTGAACATCTAAAATTATAAAATACAGTATTTAGTTAATAATTCCTACATAAAGATAAGTTGCAAAATCATAATTATATAACGTACATAACTTGTAGCTTAAATCTTATCTAATTCAACTCNAAAATCATCATTCTCGGGCTCCCTTATTTCATTTTGATTATTTTTTTGTACCTTTTGTAGGTTGTAAGATATCATTCTCCTCCTCACCCTCATCATCACAACTCTCTACAATCAAAGATTGTGCATTATTAGCATCACTTGCTGGTAAAGTCTCTATTCTGGCCTTCCTCTTCTTCTTGTTTATCAACCTTGCATTAAATTGGACATAAATAAGATTGTTCATCCTCATAGTGTCAAGTCTATTCATTTTCTTGGTGTGCATCTACAAAAAAAAAAAAAAAAAAACTAGGCGGAGGCACGCCTAGGCGACCCTAATAACTAGGCACGCCTAAGCGATCATTAAGCGGTCAACAAGGCGCGCCTGGATGAGCATTAAGCGGTCAACATTGTCGTTGATCGCTTAATTTCCGCTTAGGCTGAAGGCGAAGCGTTTTCGTTTCTCGTCTAAGCGCGCTTTTTAGAACACTGATTGAAAGATCATGTGTAATTAATTATTTAAATCCCGTCTTCATCAATTTGTAGTCAACTCGTTAAAAACGTGACAAAATCTAAATTGATCAACGAGAAATAACATTACAACATGAGTTTCTCGCGGATTGAGAAATCTATCTTTGTTAATTAAATGAGGCTAAATATATTGAGTAGTTTTTAATAATTAGACTATATTCTAATTAAATGAAATGATTCATAACCTTTTTCACATTAATCACATTTATACCTCACAAATTTTTTTATTGCATTTTTATTTTCAAATTAATACAACTTGTTTCTGATTATGGTTTTTCTTCAAAAAATTCTTTAAGATGGAATAAAGGACTTATTTTTCTATGGTAGTTTTAAATAAGCAAAACACACAATAATGCAAAAATACAATTAGATATTTGACCTTCACTTTAGAGTACGTTTAATCATTTTTTTTTTTAACGAAAATCATGATTCAGACAATATTTTCGGATCAATAAAATTGTAAAATAAAAGTCTGATGAAGAAAAAAGTTAAGGGTATAAATGTAATGATTAATAAAGATTAATAATATGTAATGTAATTAAAATGTGGTGTATTTATAAAAAATATGGTGTGAATATAAACACCCATCAAATTATTTATTGTCTATTAATTAGGCTATTAACCTTGTGAAATAATAATAATAATAAATAATGTTGGAGGAGCCGTTGGATTTACATTCCAACGTACGGGCGGTACGAGCCAAAAATTTGGGCACTATCCGGGAAGCGCACGGTACACCCTCATGCCAGCTTGACAGTGACGGTGCAGTCAAAAGACTCAAAACGCGTAGAAAATTATACCATTTCTTCCCCACTACCAAAATTACTCTCAATTTCTATTTTATTTATTTCACATTTAGCCCTCGCCAAATCTGTACCAAATAGGGATTTAATTGTCATTTCCCCGGGTAGATCTTGGTTCCCAACGACTATATAAACAGGTGCCCGCTTTCTCAGCTTTCGTATACTTTTATCTAACGCATTTCACTTCACAGATCGGTTTTTTGGAAATCAAAAGGTGCAATCTAAGAGGTAAAACACCTTTTATTTTCGTATTGTGAATTTCGGTGTTTGTACGTGTTGGCAGACATGTAAATGAATTGATTTGGTGATGTATTGGTATAGAAATTTGAATGATTTATGTGGTTTTTATGTTTAATTTAAATTATTGACGTCTGTTCTGAATTGGAATTGTCGGCATATTTGATTTGACATTAGTGATTTTAGATTAATTGATTTGATCTCTTTTTGTTTCGAAATTGTTACTATTGTTTCATTATGTGGTTGGTTTAGATCTACAAGCGCTTCCTGATTCTATTGTTTATCTGAATTTCTGCTGGTTGAGGTCTGACTTAAGTTGTAAAGTATAGTCTTTGGAGATCATAGCATGTAATGGCAGTGTTCTAGTGAGATCTGCTCAGAATATTGTAAATTTGCCATATATATTGCTTCGTCGGGTATAATTCCTAAATTGTTATACTTTGTAATGATATTTTAGAATTTTTTATGATTTTACCAGTTCTTGTTCCATGTGCTCGCATCAGATCTAATTCCAAAGTATACGTGTTTTATGTGTGGATAGTGGCCTAGTGGGGGCTTGAGTCTTAGAGTTGGAACCGAATCTTCTACCCACAAAATTCATACCAGATTACCTGCTTAATGTTCTCTTCTGATTTAATGGAAACAAATGGGCCACTCAATTCTTCCCTTTCTATCAGTGTTTTGAATGATTGAATCCTTTCCAAACAACTATGTAACTGACATCCGCATTGTAATTTTATTTATCCAATCCTCAATAGGTTTTAACTTTTCAAGGGTATCTTGTGAATTGTCATGATCCTGTTACGAGGATAATACAACCAAAATGTTACTTGTGCAAAATGATACGTCTTCCCATAAAGTTATGTTACATATTAGTGCAAGTTTTATAAGTAAGATACTGCTGCCTATTTTATGGTGCAATGAGTGCTGGGTTCATGGATGGTTTGATAGTGTCTAAAGATGATATTAAATTATATTTTTCATATTAGGGTGGTAGTGCCAAAAGCTGCCTATGAAAATTCAATAGTATATTACCGTGATGGTTAACTAAATGTTCCCCACATTATAAATCTCGCTGTGTTTGTGAAGCATGATCTGACAAATCTTCCTGAAACAGGAAAAATGGTGAAGATTTGCTGTATTGGCGCTGGGTATGTTGGGGGCCCCACCATGGCTGTAATAGCACTTAAATGCCCTAATATTGAAGTTGTCGTTGTTGATATTTCTGTTCCTCGTATCGATGCCTGGAACAGCGATCAGCTCCCCATTTATGAGCCAGGCCTTGATGATGTTGTGAAGCAGTGCAGGGGCAAGAACCTCTTCTTCAGCACAAATGTGGAGAAACATGTCGCTGAGGCTGATATTGTCTTTGTTTCAGTTAATACTCCCACCAAGACTCGGGGTCTTGGAGCAGGTAAAGCTGCAGATTTGACATACTGGGAAAGTGCAGCTCGCATGATTGCTGACGTGTCAAAATCTGACAAAATTGTAGTCGAGAAGTCGACTGTTCCAGTCAAAACTGCTGAAGCAATAGAAAAAATTTTGACCCACAACAGTAAGGGAATCAACTTTCAGATTCTCTCTAATCCAGAATTTCTTGCCGAGGGAACTGCAATTAAAGATCTTTTCAACCCTGACAGAGTTCTCATTGGAGGCAGGGAAACCCCAGATGGTCTAAAGGCAGTTAAAGCACTGAAGGATGTTTATGCCCACTGGGTCCCTGAGGATCGCATTCTCACCACTAATTTATGGTCTGCAGAGCTCTCGAAGCTAGCAGCCAACGCATTCTTGGCTCAAAGAATCTCATCAGTCAATGCCATGTCTGCTCTCTGTGAAGCTACTGGAGCTGATGTCTCACAAGTGTCATATGCTGTTGGAACAGACACAAGAATTGGTCCCAAGTTCCTTAATTCTAGTGTTGGCTTTGGTGGATCTTGTTTCCAGAAGGACATTCTGAACTTGGTTTACATTTGTGAGTGCAATGGTCTTCCTGAAGTTGCAGAGTACTGGAAACAAGTGATCAAGATTAATGACTATCAGAAGAATCGTTTTGTCAACCGTGTTGTTGCCTCTATGTTCAACACAGTTGCTAACAAGAAAGTTGCTATCCTTGGATTTGCTTTCAAGAAGGATACTGGTGATACCAGAGAAACCCCTGCTATTGATGTCTGCAAGGGACTCTTGGGGGACAAGGCCCGCTTGAGCATTTATGATCCTCAGGTTACTGAGGACCAGATCCAGAGGGACCTTACCATGAAGAAGTTTGATTGGGATCATCCCCTTCATCTTCAGCCGATGAGCCCCACCACAGTGAAGCAAGTTAGTATTGTTTGGGATGCCTACGAGGCAACTAAGGATGCACATGCTGTTTGTATTCTCACTGAGTGGGACGAGTTCAAAACTCTCGATTTCCAGAAGATGTATGACAACATGCAGAAACCAGCCTTCGTTTTTGATGGACGGAACATTATCAATCCGGCTAAGCTAAGGGAAATTGGATTTATCGTGTACTCAATTGGAAAGCCACTGGATGCTTGGCTCAAGGACATGCCTGCTGTTGCATGAACGCGTCTCTTGGATTGAATGCTGCTCGTGTTAGGACCAAAGAGCATAGTTATGAGGCACATGCTGAATTCTTTACTATTTTTTTTTTATTTATCAGTTTCTGATATTTCTTATACTCCTCTTTATAGTCCGAAGATCAACGAACGTCGCTATATGGACACTATATGGTCTATAGTTAGGAGCATAATGTTTTCTGTCGTCAACTTGTCTTCTTTGAAGACCCAATTTGATTTTTGTTGGTTTATATACTGGTAAATTTTTTAAAATTATTTGTCTTGTTAGTTTATAAAATATAGTCCAGTGTTTATGTGGACAATTTATTCTGATTGTCCCAAATTTAATCCTACCCTATAGATAGTCTAATAGCATAACTTCTATGAAGTCATTGAATAGTAGATGCATAGTTATCAAATTTGAACTGTTCATATTAAGGTAATTACATCATCTGGTTACTAGTCAAATCAGTGACTCAATGGTTCAATAATCATTGTTGAATTAAAAATTTAAAGGAACAGTTATGACTATGGGTAGATGAATGATCAAATCAGTGGATTGCTCCTGGGTTGTTTGCAAAATGATCCATCAACACGATCCAAATTGGACAAGTGTCTCAATCGTCAATTATCTGGTTGAACTGGTCGATCTAGTTCGTTTTTAGCAACTATGGGTAGATGTAGATGTTGATAGCAATTAATGATTTATCTACCTTAATATCCTCATACTGTCTATTCAATTCATCTCATGTCTGAATTAAATAAGTGATTATAAAGTGGTGTTAATAGATTCCATAGGCTCCTGCTGCAAAAGGAAATGGGGTATGATTTTGGTGTTGGGTCTCGTGATGCTACTTGGAAAACATATCAAGTTGGAGACAATTCATGTACTTTGTAGGATTTATTCGTACGTTTTGAAAAATTAGACTCCATTTGCAAATTTCATTATTTTTTGTTATTTTATTGTTTTCTTTTACTTTTTCATTCTTGCTACAAGCCTACAATGGAGGGAAGGACGAGATTTGTTGCACAATTGAAAGGTTGACGATGAATGATGCTAAAAAAATTTTGAGGATATAATTATTATATTTCAATAAGGGACGAAAAATACAAACTTCCCTAGAATTAATAGAACAAGACAACTGTTGACCTCAAAAAATGAACTCAACAGATGCCGAGCCCACTCATGCATACGTGAGTCATATCCAGCACGTTAAAATAGATCCACGGTCAAGATCACTCCAAGGATTGGACGTGGGAGAGGCTCAATGGCACGAGACGTTTCCGTTTGGACTCCGGTAGGGTTTATGGAACAAGTCTGTATAATCATTAATCTATGAAAGAAATATTCGTAGTTATAATAAATTGACTAGATCAAAATATATGCCGCTTTTTAGTATTTAGATTTTCATTAGCTTTCAATTGTTATAGGGTGGGGATATTTATAATGTTGCAAATGGAATGGTGGCCCTTGGATCAACTTACATGTGACATCATCTCCTTGATTAAGACATTAAATCATAGCCATCATGTTGACTTAATAGCTTTACAAAGTATTAAATGCTCTTACATTGATAAGACAAGACACAAATACACTTTTTACAAAAGTCACATCAATCATTCGTATGTGGATTTTCATCATAATCAAATCATTGCACGTGGGCCGTCGCGAGCTGGAAACCTGTGCCTGGGCCTTTGCTGATAGCAGAATCTCGAATTTAAGAGGTGCCTCGGAAGAAATTGGGCATCTGTGACACAGGGCCTCAGACATGGGCTTCGGCCTATACAGAAGCAGGGTCTGAGTTAGCTTGGTTGGTCTGGATCAGGTCCAACATATTAATTCTGATGACCACGTGGCAGTCCCTAGAGATGAGTCGTAACAATAGTCCCCCCAAGTCCATGTGTAATTATTTATGTCATACGTGGACTTCAGTAATAAAGTGTCGAAAATTTTGAAATTTTAATTTTGTATCCACTATACGATTCTCCCAAGTCCATCTGTGATTATTTATGTCATGCGTGGAGTTTAGAAAGTAATAGTAAACACGGCTTACTGAAATGCTTATTGAAACTGAAATTCTTTTTGAAGCTGAGGCGAGTCCATAGTGAACTGGTCGAGGCTTAAATGATTTGAAGTTGAAATTCCTTTTGAAGTTGAGACGAGTCCATAGTTGAACTTGGACTCGCCAACGCTGGAATGATTTGAAGCTGAAATTCTTTTTGAAGCTGAGGCGAGTCCATAGTTGAATTGGCCGAGGCTGAAATGCTTTGAAGCTGAGGCTGAAATGGAATTGTACAATCATTAATGTTGATATTTGTGCACGTGATTTGACGATTTCGCCTATTTCCAAGGTGAGGTAGCTGTATCTAAACAACTTCCAATACACGTACGGTCGTTGTATTCAATGTGCAATGATGGCTAATTATAAGCATGCATAATTCTTAAGGAATGCTTACGCGCCATGGCCAATGCATGAGGCCAACGAATTAATCTGAGGCGTTGGTATCACAAACTGTTTGAATTATACGGCTTGGATTGAGAGCAGATTTGGACGTCTCATATTAGATGGGTCTTTGATCCAATGGCCGAGATTCAATCTCCTATGTGTATAAAAACCCAAAAACTTGTCATTTGTGAATTTTACTTTTGCAAAAAATTCGTCGCATTCTCTCGAGTTAGAATTCTTCCAAATCTTTCGACCACTAATTCTCCGGCAAAACTTCCGAATATTCATTTGTAGGTATTTCCTTAGGTTCTTGCAACTTCTTTTCCATGTTTTTGTTTGTTTTTGAAAAGAACCATGTCTTCTGAGGCTTGCATGCCTATTACGGTGGTGAGGTCCGGAGAGGAGTCGGTCTCCATGGGGTCGGAGGGGTGGTATAGTACGGCCGAGGAGCCTATAGATTACGAGGTTGATTGGGGGGCTGCCAAAATTCCATCTTCCATAACCTCCTCAAAACTAGCAGAACTTAGGGGAACTTATTGCATACCTCACTATATAGAGTTATTAGTTTCCGAGGCCCACAAACGAGCTTGCTTTCCGAGATCGGGATGTGTGGTTGTCAGTGAATACATGCTTAAAGCAGGAATGCACGCCTTTGCACCACTTCTTTAGGGCGATGCTGATGAGCTTTATGTTGTCGCCCACCCAAATTTTGCTTAATGGGCGGAGCCAGTTGGGGCCTACTTCTTTTGGAAGGAGGTCTCCTTAGGAGAGGACCTCACCCTACATGTCTTTCAGACCATCTTCCATACCCGAGTCGTTGGGAAAGAGGACTCCAAGGGGTAGTACTACATCACCCCTTGGGGGGCTCATGCTCCTTTAGTAGTGGGACTCCCTACTTCCATTAAGGGATGGAAGTAGTCCTGGTTCTGGGTCAGATGCAGGTGACAGATGGTCGAGGGATACGTCGTCCCAGCCTGTACTATTTCGACCCAATACTACGAAGCGCGTGGGTATCTAGTCTGCACATTTTAAAATTTTTATTCAACTCTTTGATGCTAATCTTCTTATTTTGTTTATCTACAGACTCTGGTTGGAGGTACGAGCTCCACAAGGCTGAGTGGGACGTGATTGAAGATGTATATAAACGATCTTCGAAGCTTTGCCCACCTCCTCGATCGAAGCTGCTACTTTCTGGACTTCGGACTGATGGCTTCCCAGGGTAAGAGGCCTTTTTTACTTATAGAGGTTTACAATCACCAAGTTTATAGTTTCCAAATTTTATCTTTTCTGTTGTAGACAAATTTGCGAAGGAGTACCCAACTCCAGATATGGCCACTATCCTCAAGGCCACGACCATCACGGCACAAAACCATTGAAGCCCTCTTCCTCCAGGGTGAAGGGAGTAAGAACGAGGTTGGAGTGCCTCAGCAAGAACCAGGCTGAGAAAGGAGCAGAGGAAGAGGCTCCTAAGAAGGCAGAGAAGGTAGCCGATAAGGGTAAGGGCAAAATGGAGGAGCCTCAGAAGAAGAGAAAACTTGTTCATACAAATGGGGCTGCGTCCACTTTTGGGACCATCACTTCCTATGCAGAAAATGGAGGGGTCCAGCAACCAAAACTTCTTCAATCTTCAATAAAGGCTGCCATGGTGGAGCAATCTCGTAAGTCCAATGAGGGGGCCAATAAGGAAAAATCTTTTGCCTCAAGGGTGCCCAAGAAGGGGCAAGTTGAGAGGACCCCAGGGAAGTCTGAGAATTTTTTAGCTTGGAGGGATGACAAGATTGCCCCAGCCGTACTGGAGATGTTTCCACCTGAAGTTCGAGGCGCAGCTGAAAGTTTTAACAAGTTCTGGATTGAGAGGCCTTGGTCGAAATTGAAGCCCTCAAGAAGGAGGTGTATGAATCTCAGTGTGAGGTGGCTTCTCTCACAAAAAGGGTGGAGACTTCTGATGCCCACCAGAGACTGACTACTGAAGCTCTGGAGAAAACAAAGTTGGAGCTTGCTGACCAGAAGAATGGGAGCAAGTTCATGGATGATCAAATTTGATGGTATGTCAAGGAGGTAAAGATCCTCGAAGCTGAGGCTCAACATGCTGGTGAAGTGGCGGTGAAAAATTATATAGCCAACTTTCACCTGACTGAGGAGTACCAACATTTCGCCATTTATTGGAGGAGGTATGCATACAACGAGATGATGGACATGGTCGAGGCACTCTATACCGAACTCGATACTTCTGACTTGAGGGGAGAATTTTTTGATGAAGAAGTGCCCTAGACCCCAGCAGAAGAAGCTGCTGAGGAAGCCTCAATTGAAGTTTTGGAAGAAGTTCCAGTTGAGGGGGCTTCAAAAGTGGCGACTGATGCATTGCCATCGATTCACAAGCTCATCCACCTCCTCAATAGTAGTATAGAATATGTTAAATTTTGTAATGCATTTGGGCCTCCATTTGTATACTTTTTATTTCAATGAATGAAATTTCTTCATTTCCCATTGTTTACAACTTTATCATTTTGAACTGCTTCGACAAGCTGTAGTATGAACTTCGTCTGAACCGAGCTCAATT